ATAAAAAATATATATATTAATTTATAGATTAATTTTAAATTATTATTAAATTATTAAATGATAAATATTAATTATTAGATCCACCATCAATTATAATTATTAACTTTTCCTAATAATAAAATCAAATATAGATTCTATCAAAAAGAAAAAGAAAATCGAATACAAATAATATTTTTACAAGGTCTTAACGGTTTATTTGTGCAGCCATAAAATTATATATATAATAAGAAACAATAAAAAAATTTCTTTTGGTGCCACATCATCACAATTAATATTATTTTATATTAAATCACATTTTTATATATTTAACTTTCAAATAAAATACCTAAAAAGAATACTTCTTTTTCCAATGTATATATTTTTAGAAAAATAAAAGATTTAATTCAATAATTAATATATTAACGATCAGTTTAACTTTACTTTAGTTTAAAAATTTTATTTTCTTTTTAAATAGTGTTGTACCTATGATTTTGATGATAACAAAACACATTTGAGTGACTAATTAGTTCATTTAAGTGTGTAGTTAAATGTCAAAAGATTGCAAAATAAGTAAACTTGGACTACACTTAAAAATGGACCAGAAAGGTTTGAGTATGTGCAGAGAGCCGGCTCTTGAAAGCTACAGCCGGCTCTGGTGAAATGGAAGTGCAGAGAGCTGGCTCTGGAAGCTGCAGCCGGCTCTACAGGTGAAGATTTAAAGGTCTGTTCTTTGGTGCGCGCGGAGAAAAGAAGCAGAGCCGGCTCTAACTTTGCAGTCAGCTGTAAGGGCGCATTTAATGCACAACGGTCAACTTATTTGAAGAATAATTAATATTTTTTAAAGTCGGAATACTAAAGCCAACTCTAGGTTTTTGCAACCGGCTGTGGAAGAAAACAGAATGTGCTGCAAACCCGCAAAGCCAACTTTGTGTTTTGGAGTTGGCTCTACGGAGAAAACAGAAAGTGCAGAATCCCGCAAAGTCGGCTGTAGAAATGGTGAGCCGGCTGTATAGAGCCGGCTCTAGGAAGTTAAGCCGGCTCTCTTGACAATCCTGCAACTCGAGCTTTGCGTCCTGCAGAGCATTTAATGACCCCCAACAACTAGAAACGGCTATTTTCGAGTAAGGGGCTATAAATATGGTTGGTAACAAATCTAAAGAAGTTTAGAGAGCCCTGCATTGAATATTTTTACCTACCTACATGTGCTTTAACTTGAGTTTTTGATCTTTGAGAGATATTTACTTGTAATCCTCTTCTTATTCTATTTGTGAGTGATCTTGGGGGTGTGATTATTCCTTCAAGAGTTATCTATTCAGAGGATTTGTGGGGTTTACATTGTAAAAGGGTGAGGTTTAAGAGAAATACTCATGTTTTTGTAAAAGGATTGAGTGGCCCCTTTAAACCACTCTTGTTTTTCTTAGTGAAGAGTGTGGAGGAAATCCTTGGTAAGTGAAGCCAAGGTAGAGGATTAGGCTCCAAGTAGTTGGACTGAATCTTTATAAATTCATTGTGCAAGCTTTTCTTCTCTACTCTCTTTAACTTTGGTTTTGTGGTTGCAAAATGAGAGAATTTTTGGAACTCCAATTCACCCCCCCTCTTGGAGTGTATTGAGTCAACAAATAGTCTATTAACTTTGAAAAATATTTCAAAATAGTTTTTCGTATAAAATTTTTGTTAGATTTAATGGAAACGAGTAATCCTTTAAATTTTGAAAAAGTGATATTACAATTCTAATAAAATATAATGATTTAAGAAATATTTTATAAAGATAGATTAATTAAAATTTGTAATAAACTGGGAAATTAACTCAATTTAAAGGAAGAAACTAAGCTTACAACAAGAAGCTTCAAAAGTAAATTTTACAAATATAATAAAATAGAATTATATCTTATAGAACTGATGAGCTATTATGAGGTATGTTTATAAAGTTTGTAAAGCATCTGTTCTAGAAGAATTAAAACATTTAGTAAGATAAGAATAAAAATTATTTTTACGGTAAATATAAATTTAAAGACTAAAAAATAAAAAGAAATTTAGTTAGTGGACCAAATGTTATGCTATAGAACAAGAAGATTTTCATTAAAAATAATGGATTAAATGAAATTAAAATAAATATAAAAGATAATAGATAGGGTTAAAAGAATTCAAAAATAATAAATGAAATTAAAAATAATATAAAAATTAATAGATGTTTTGTTAAATTAAGTCAAAAATAAAATATCAACAGTTGGATTGAGGGGTGAGCATGGTTTAGTGTTGATCGTAATTAAAACCAAATTATCAATTAATTG